ACATGAGGTTCACATATTTTCTATAGGTTTTCTTTTTTTTACACACAAGAACAGTGTGAAGTACTAATATGCTTCTTTAGCAGATGACTAATATTAAGCTCAAGAAGGACTCAGTACTCCCGGATTTCCTACATCTACTTAAAGGCATATGTGTGTGAATGTTCATGAAAGTGCATGAAATACACAAAACATGTTCTCGTTCACATATTCTTTTGCAAAATTGAGATATTAATCTATATATGTTTTCCAGCAAATCACCCTTTTCATTCAGCACGATAGCCTAGAGTATTAATTTGAATTTCTTCAGTTATTTTAGTTTGGTATGCCTTGAAACCTTAATAGGTATGTATATTATTTTACAAGAATTATTTCTTGATAGCATTTGCCTATTTATTGTTTAAGGATTTATTTACTTTAAATGCAGAGTTACAGAGAAAAGGGACAAAGAGAGAAATGGTGAGAAAGAGGGAGATCTTCCATCCTCTGGTTCATACTCCAAATGGTCTCATGGCCAGGGCTGGACCAGGCCTATTAAAGGACCCCATAACTCTCCCATATGGGTAGCACCACTGCTTTCCCAAATGCATTAACAAAGAGCTGGATCAGAAGTAGGATAAATAGGACTCAAACTGGTGTTCAAATGCAATGCTGGCATTGCAGGTTATGGCTTAACCTGCTGCACCACAACTTGGGCCTCACCTATTTCTTAACTCATGAGTAAGTGTTCATGTCACATCAAGAATATTAGGTAGAATATTGAGGAGTTAATATAAAAATAATTATTAGAAAAAAGTGATAACTTCTAAATAACAATAAAAAGAGGATAACTGAAAGAGACAAGCCTAGTGAAAGTCCTAGTGAAATTTTATATATATATGTGTGTATATTTAATATATATATATAACTTATATATGTGTAAAAGCTTTATAATAGTAGTTGATAATGCTTTATGATATTAATCACAATGATTATATGTTATTGATATTTATGTAAAAAATCATAGAAAAATGTTCATAAAACAAAAAATAATGGAGGTTCAAAGAGAAATAAGGAGAAATACACCATTAATCAATTATTTAAACACAAACTTCTGCAATCCAGAAATGATAAAATTGCTAAAAAAACTATTTATTATACAGAAGACCTCAACAACATAATGCAAAATGACTGAGTACTCAGAAGATTAGCAAACTAGGCAACTAGTCTCAGACAGAAATGAGAATTTATTGGAAATTAAAGGAAAGGACATTCTTGTTATGAAGTAACAAAGAATTTGGCAGAACTCGGTCCTGTCCAGAGTGCTTGCCCCACAGGCCTGGGGCTGTAGGCTGGCTCAAGGGGGAGGGACCTTGGTGGGAAGAGGAGGTGGGCTGCTTTTGAGGATGGTTTGGAGGTATGATTTCTATCCACTTTCCTAATAGCACCAGCATTACCTGGCACCCAGTGTTCCTTCCAGGGGCTATATTTGGCTCTGTGCCTCAGTTGCCAAGCAACAGCTTCTTCTGAGCTCAGAGCATGATTCAGGGGAACTGGTCTGGACAGTTGTGTCCATAGCAACCTGGAGAGGGATGGCAGGGGGTGGGGAGACAGTCTAGGAAGGGCTGCAGGAGTGGGGGCCTGGGGTTTTGGATGGCCTGCTCTGCACTGTGGACGTGTCAGCCGACACTGACAAGAGAACAGGAAGTGCAGAAGGTCAATGAAGACAATATAGGTGTACACTCAGCAGCAGGTGAAGCTCATGTTTAGTCTTTTAAGGTAAACAGGACTTTTCCAGAGTAGAGAAATACCTCCCTGAATTGTTTCAGGAGTCACACTGTAGAAAAGCATCTGTTTTCTCATTTGAAAATTGTGTGACTGGTATTAATAAAGGAGAACCAAAGGCAAAATAGAGAGAGATGTTGTAAGTCTGGTTGTATCCAGCATTATGGCTCTAGAAATCTCACATGGGGACCCAGCAAGAGTGGTCAGAAAGACAGGGATCTGAGCTTGATAGTATTTGACAAGGTCTTCTGGAATTTTCCACACGTTGGATCCCTCTATTTCTGTCACTTTGGGCATCTCTAAGCCCCAAGATAGGAAGCCCATGTC